CAAACCGAGGTCTACTGAATACAAACTTGTTGCCGACCTCCCAGACTCCAACAAGGGAGCCGGGGATGATTACTTCATTGTCTCGGGCAACTAGGAGTCTGCTCCAGATGACAACCTTCACCTCTACCCTCTCAGCCGAACGGTATTCGTAGAGGGTAATGGTAAGAGCCAAGTGTGACATTTTTTCAAGCCTTTAATACTTTGTTCTTTCCATATGTTCTAACATCTGTTTTTCTTGCAGTTCTTCCATAACCACCAAAAGACTTCCGCAAGTCCTTCTTCCCCAACAAGGATCTTAAGAAGTTGCTGGACCTGCCAGTCCACAAGCAAAGAGCTCCTTTATTGCTTAACTTCATCCCGACCTACAAGTCGGTACTTCCCGACATCTCAAGGAAGCAGAAAAGCACTACAATTAACACCGCCACAACTCCACCACCAACACCACCCCACCAACACCAACACCAACACCAACACCACCACCACCACTGCTAGAATAAGGATCCAAGTTGCAAGAACCCACATGCTCTAGTTCAATCTGCAACACTGAATCAAATTTCTGAACATGAGATAACAAGTAGTTTCCAGTTGGAGCTTAATGGCAGATATGTATTGATGGCTTCCCCCACAAGGAGACATCCTGCGCTACATCCAACAGCATCTAGCTCATCTTTGTGAACATAGCCAGGTACTTTCCACATGACAAAATTAATATACATAGGACTGTTTTGGCAACACCATAAAAAAGCCAAAAACCACTACCAAAAAAATCAACTCCTCTCTAGTTTTTTCATGTCTTTTCGTAAAAAGTCAAAAAACCAACTAAAATATCTATTTCCCAAAACAATCTAGAGTTTCAATTTGTGCATTGCCCTGCCAGACCTATGCCAAGTAGAATCAACACCGCCACTCCACCACATCCACCACCACCACCATTATTGTTGCCAATTTGTTACCACCACCTCTACCACACTTGCACCACTACAAATTACAATCTATTGGGGAAAAAAAATTAATATAGTAAAAGGATTGATCAGATTCATTTGTCCGAAATGAATCCATTTCAACCCAACCAGTTTATTAATGGATGGGTATGGGTTGAGTTGTTTTAAAGGCATAACCCATTTTAGCCTGCCCAAACCCCCCATTTGCCACCTCTAAACAAGGGCAGCACAGCAAAAGCACGAGCAAACCTTGGCACATTTTTGTTCAATTTTCCCACTTTTTAACTAGCAATGTATATAGTTATTTTCTACATAACCAACTAAGCCTAGCCTAGTTGGCCACCATGACTCTCCTAAGGGTTTAGTCCCAAGGGAGAGATCATGACTTCAACTCTCCCTAAGGGGGAGTAGAATTAAGAGACAAGCACTTCGTGCTTTGCAAGGGTGGAGAGGCTTATTCCCATAAGTACTACTTTAACAATTAACAACTGACTTTCGCCGATCAAAAAAAAAATTATTTTCTAAATTAATTTTTTTGTTTATAATAACTACTCAAATGATATCTTTTTGCCTGAGTAGAGCTCCTACATTTCCCTATATAAAATTTATATACAAAAGAAAAAAGCAGGCATCATACATATCAAAAAGAATGAAAGAAAGAAAAAAGCAGGCTCTACTACCAAAGCACGCAATGGACTAAGCACAAGGAACAGCTGGTCATATGGTCTAGTCAGAATCAATCCTCTATCCCCCTCTCAAGTGCAGGTGCACTAATGTGCATTCACACAATCACATATCAAAATCATTAAGCAAGCATCACCACATTCTTCATAAACTTGGTGAACAACAACTAGGAATTCTATCATAAATTTCAACCACAATTTGTTTCTAAAAGGTACTTAAAATTTAAAAGTTTCTCCTTTCAGAGTAATAATCATTATTGTAAAGTCATTTAGTAGTGTAGTTCTCAGGCTACAGCAGAGTAAGACTTTAACGATTAAAGGTGATATTTTTGCAGCATTGCTTTAAATGATTGAAATAATACAGAACTACAATGTGATCAGACAAATGAAACATCTAACTCTCATATGATCAACAATTTAATTAACAACTTCAAAACACATGCACTTCTATTGCTACCAGTATGACAATTCTATAGTATTTATTTATTCGTTACTAGCATCATGGTACATATAACTAAAACTAATGCAGAATTATTTTCAAACAAAATCTGTAAGTTCCATCTGCAAAATTCAAGTTTATCCAACAAGCACTTATGAATGTATGCAACTAGTCAACAAATATTCCATAGTATACATAAAATGCCGCATTTGAAACAGTCACAAAAATATATAAAAGTAGAAAAGGAAACATAAGCACCCGATGTGGACCTTGGATCAAGTCATCAGGTCACCATCTGAAACTGCTTCAGTGAGTCACAATGCGGTGTTTCGCGTACTATCCCCCATTGGAAACGCTGCAACTCAAGCCGACAATTATGTGAAAGAACCGAAACATAATCTCTCTCCACCTGTCCTTCAAGCCTCACGCGTTCAGGGCTATTAGGAGGGTAATCCTGCTCAAACCTCGCCGACTTAACATAAAAATTAACATCCTTTTGAGTAGTAAACCGATGTTCATAAGGATATGATCGATAAAGCGCATATATGGGATCAGATGATGGCATAAAGCTCAAGAACAGAATCAGAAGCACAGGCAACAACTGAATTAAAGTCCTAACCCATCCAGGAGACCCATTGTTGTGCATTCTCACACCCATCCCTGGACCAAAGCTAAAGGTACCGAATTGCGCAGACATAGCGGGATTCATCCCACCAAAGAAGTTCCTAAATATCTCCTCAGCATCAATGTCAGCCTCATAAAGCCCATGAAACCCTTGTCCCTGACGCTGACGCCTCCTTTCATACACGGGTTCTTCTGATCCAACAAGATCATACCTTTTCCTACTCTCCCCATCACTCAAACACTGAAACGCCTTCGAAACAGACTTGAAGGCTTCCTCGGCACCCGGAGCAGTGTTCTTATCGGGATGAACCTTCAATGAAAGTTTTCGATAGGCCTTGCGAACATCATCAACAGAACAACCCTTCTCTAACCCCAATATCTCATAGTAATCCTTTTTCCTCTTAATCTCTCTCACAATTGAGATCTGTTCCTCCGTATAGGCCACCGAGGTCGTCGAAGAAGACGATGACGAAGACCCAGATGCCGAAACCCTACGCCCAGCACCAGAATTGCTGTTGGTGTTACTGTCCGGTACCTTTGATGAAGCTGGTGATGATTCGTTGGTGGGTTCTTCCTCGATCTTGGAGAGGAGATCGTGGATGGGAAGAGAAGGATCGAGACGACGAGCTTTGCTGATGAATTTCAAGGCACGGGTTCGATCGCCGGCTTCGAAAGCATCGCGGCCGATCTTGAAGCATTTCAAAGCTTCGTCTTTGTTTCCGTCCATGTCAATTGAGAAGAAAAACCCCAGAAAATCTAGCAATACATGTAGAGATGGAGTGGAAAGTGTGATGTGATGTATGGGCTATATGTGTATATTGATTGGGGATTCGAAAGTTGGGGATTTAGGAATCAGAGTTTTGGGTGGGTTGAAATCTAATTAGGGTTTGGGAGGGATTGAATTGGATTTGGATCTGAGGTATGGCTCTTTCTTGAGTTGAGGCAATAGAAGACAGAGAGAGAGAGAGAATAGAAGAGGGTGTGAGAAATTTCGCATAGCAAGTCGTCTCTTTTTGGTTTTTTTGTTTATTGTTTGGAAAATATTTGGGCTCGTTTGATTTGAATATGGAATTGTATTTTTAAGTTTTGAATTTTTAAATTATAATTAAAGTATGAAATTATGTTTTGAGTTTTGAAATTTTGAATCATAATTTAGAAAAAATTTATTTGATTATCGGTTTTCAAAATAATTTTGAAATGATTTATAAATTTTTTTAATTGATTAATATATAGAATGTAAAAAAATTTGATAGTGGAGATGAGAGAAAAAAACGTGATTGATTGTTTAATTAATAATAATTTAAAAAAAAAGAGAAGAGAGAAATTTTAAAAATAATTTGAAATTATATTTAAAAACTATATTTAATTAACATTTTGCATCCAAATCTTGATTTACAAACAGAATTAAATTTTGAAAAATAAATCAAACGTTACCATTATATTTTTAGAATTTTATCATAATGTTTTTTTTAAAAAAAATATATGACTTTTGTGATTAACAGTGCTGACCGAATATTGGAAATTGAGTTTGTCGACACATTGAAAATTATATTTTCATAAGGAAAATGTTTGGTAGCTCAAATTTTTGCGGCTCAAATGGCTCAAATCTGTCAAAACGACGTCGTTTTACACTCAAAATCTGTCAAAACGACGTCGTTTTGACAGATTTGAGCCATTTGAGCCACAAAAATTTGAGCTACCTAGCATTGTCGTTTTCATAATCAGATTCATTCTTCTTATAAAGTTTGATGTATAAAATATTTATAACAGTGCTCGGGCAGTAAATGTAAATTTAAGTATTTGTTTGGCGTGTGTTATTTTAACACATCATCTTATTTGAGTTATAATTATCTTATTTGTATCATATCATTTTTTATTTGAGTCATAACAACTCTCTACAACATCAATTTAAACTCAACCCATATTTCATATTTTTCATAAAAAGTCAAAAAGTATACTAATTTAACATTTCCAAAACAACCCATAAATTTTCTTTATTCAAAAGGTTCATATGCTAAAATATTAGAGTGATTTTACTTATATCACTATTTTACCTCTTTACACCCTCTATCTCATTACACCACTAAAAAAAATGTGATTCTCATTACACCCCTAGTATATTACCAAAACTAACCCTAAATTAACTATTTCATTTCTTTATATCACTACTAATTTTTTGAGGAAAAAAAGAGAAGCAGCAGAGGAAAAGAGAAAATAGGGAAGACGAGGGGTTCGGTGGAGCCCATAGTGAAGTGTCTGTTTGGTTACACAGTATTAGACAATTTACATTCTTTCGGTATTAAGTTGCCGGAAAAAATAGATTTGTCCAGCGTTTTGTTACTATACATTTACAAAGCCACTTTCTTCCAAACAATAATTTGGACCTGTTCGGTAATACAATGCTAACGAATTTGAATTCATCTAGTGTCATGTTACCAAACAAACTTTTTTTTCAAGCAATATGTTGTCGTTTGATTGGATGATAATAAGAAGTTAATTCTGATTAGTTGTGAAGTGCCTATTTGGTGATACATTGCTATACAAATTGGATTACTCTAATGTCATGTTGGCAAGCTATAATAGATTTGTCTATGCACTTGTCGCTATACATTGAAAGATTTACTTTTTCCTTCAAACATCCATAAATCAAACATGCATCCATACAACCATAGATAAAAAGTACCTATAAAATTATTCATTAAAAAATCAGTGTACGAATATCCATAAAATCTGTCATTGTTCGCATCTTTTAATCAAACATGTTATCACAATTCATCTATATTGATAGTTTCGGTAATTACTACATCAGAGGTGATAAGAGTACGAAATTGATGAATACAGATAGTATATGCTTTCTCTCATCCATTAGCATACAGGTGATGAAAACGAATCCAATTATTTGCTATCGGAGGTATTAGATGACCAGGTTGCAAATAAACCTATAACAAAGAAATCAATAAGTAGAATTACAAAATAAGACATGGTAATGATCAAAGTAGGCTCGGTAGTTACCTATACGAAATGGTTTCCATTTACAAATCCTATGCAGATATCTCTTCGATCAGGTGTTGCAATTGGTACTGCTCTAAGAGATAGAAATGTCAAGCATTGTTGCATAGATAAATGATAAAGAATAATTCGATAGTATGATGCTATCAAATGGCCTATGTTGGGCATAGTCATCCAATGATTAAATCCAAGGTCAAGTTTGGAGTAAGATAAGATAGAGGTAAGGTCATTAACTCTTTCTTGTGAGCCAAATAGTTACAAGTAGTGCATTACATTCGAATGTAGCTCAGTCAACAAGTATCGCCTAACTTGTTGCCAATCATCTTCACCTAAACCAATCAATCTAGCTATTGTCTTGAAACCACAATTGTCATCTGCTTGTGCATCTTTTATGTGACGGATATATGGTCTCAACTTCTCCGAAAATTGTTTGAAGTAAGAGATACGATTTGATTTAACCAATATATCTTCGCTTTAATGTAATCAACATCTCTTTTGGTCACACTATACTCTTTGGCATGTCAACTAATAACGATGTTTCCTCCTTAGATAATCTGCCAACAAATGAGTGCCCTTCAAGATGTTTAGCAGGCAGATGATTGTACACTCCGTATAAGACATGTCATACCCACAGTGATGTGTGTGTGTAAATAAAATGTATAAAATAAACAACAAAATAAAATAATTCAGAAAATAATTATATAAATTAAAATTCGAATTAAATGCTTATAGAAATTAAAGTCGAGGCTTGTGTTGGACACAATCTCCTTAAAGTAGATTTTGTCCTCGCTCCGATGCTTCAAGTTTTAACAGCGTCTACTCCCCAAGATGCAACGACTAACACTTGAATTTGCAGCACTACAAAATCAAGTTTGGCAAACCAAACAATGTTGTAACTCTTTCTCTTTCTTTTCCTAAAAAATAAATGCAGAAAAGATACAGAGAAACACAGAGAAGAATGACGAAATTTTGATGGAAAATTGAATGAAATGAATTACTGGAAGTAGACTTTTATATAGGCAAAATGGTGGCTGTTTGAACAGGTACCAACAGATAGGCAACTGTTCGGACAAATTTCAACAAATAGAAAATCTGTTTGAACTATTTAGACAATTCCAGATCTATTCGGGAAAGGATTCAACAGGTTCAAACCTGGTTGGGTGAGAAAAAATTTGGACTAAAATTATTTTTGGCCCAAAAAGATAAGTATTAGGCTGGAGAAGCCCAACCTAACCACGCACCTGCGCCCAAGCCCAACCTGCTCGACCGACCGGACAGACGGCGGCAGCGTGCACGTGTGGTTTTAATTTTGGGTCCAATGGGTCTAGTCCACTTCATTCATAACCTCACCCTTATACAAACTTAGATACCCCTTGGAGCCCATCCAAGTATCCCAAACTAAGGTATATAAACTCATTCAAAACCTCAAGTCTTTCCAATGTGGGACAAGCAAATTTCACAAATGTGTAGGAAACCCACCAAAAAACTAGTTCCACAAACCTGAAAACGCGCGTTGAATTCTCATTCATCCAGAAATGGTTTTGAGCACCAAATATATGAATTTATTCATTACGCGGCATTAAACATGAACCCAATTAAAAACGTTAAAATAACGCTTGGGTCCCACCTTAATTAATACTCAAAGTTAACAAAAAATAAGGTTATACAAAAGTCATTTTCCAACAATCCCCCACATGAATGGAATTCACGATAACGGACATGCAACAAGATGCAGACAAAAAAATAGTACATTAAGAAGATACACCACATCGAGATAGGTAGCTTTTGGCTTTGAACCTCCTCTGTGAAAGCCATCTTTGCCCTCAAGATCTTGCGTCATTATCTTTACGACGCAACCTACGAGATTTATACTGATCACAAGAGTCTTAAATATCTGTTTACATAGAAGGAACTGAATATAAGACAACGGTGGTGGCTAGAATTTATGAAAGATTATGATATAAAGATCCATCACCATCCAAGCAAAGCTAACGTGGTGGCAAACGCACTGAACCGAAAGACAACCAGAAGTTTGGCATGTACCATCGTTCCCCGCAAGATCAATGGGCTGCTCACCAATATAACCGTGGAACCCGCATTGATTTAAGAAATTAAAGCATGCCAATGTGAAGATAAATTTCTGAAGAAAAAGTACGAGGAGCAAAGGAGTACGCCTGATCCTGATTTCACTATGAGCAAATGGGATACTAAAATTTCAAAATCAAATTTGCGTACCTGACATTCCGAAACTCAAGAAGAAGATATTGGTGGAAGCTCATAACTCGAGATTTGTAGTCCACCCTAGCAACACAAAAATGTACCAGGATCTGAAGAAACACTACTGGTGGACAAGAATAAAAAGAGACATAGCAAGCCATGTCTCTAAATTTCTGCATTGTCAGCGTGTTAAAGCAGAACATCAGAGACCTGTAGGAATGATGCAACCACTCCCTATTCCTGAATGGAAATTGAAGCACATTACTATGGACTTCGTGGTCGAGGCTACCACAGTCCTTTTCGAAGAATGAGGCAATATGGGTTATAGTAGACCGATTAACGAAGTCGACGCATTTTCTGTCAATCAAAATCATGTACTCCCTTAATAAGTTTGCCATTTTATACATCAAGGAAATTATTTGTTTGCATGGCACCCCAGTTTCAATCATGTCTGACCAAGCCTCCCGCTTCGTGTCTCACTTCTAGAACAAATTGCAGGAGGCTTTGGGGACTACACTAAAGTTTAGCACTGTTTATCACCTGCAAACTAATGGGCAATACGAAAGAACAATCCAAACTTTGGAAGACATGTTATGTATATACGTGTTGGACCTCAAAGGTAATTGGGATGAACACCTATTTTTAGTGAAATTCGCCTATAACAACAGTTACCAATCAAGCATTAGAATGGCACCGTACAAAGCTCTATATGAAAGAAGATGTCGATCACCTCTGTGTTGGGCAGAAGTCGGAGACAGAAAACTATTAGGCCCCGAGATCATGCAAATCACAAGTGAGAAAATTCA